ACTGCAATGGCGTGTTGACGACCTGCAGAGTCCTCTGCCTTCAGCTTGAGTGTGCGGAACTCTTCATCGATGAAGAGCAGCCTGCCAAAACAGATCAATAGCACCACACATGGTTTTGGTTGATTTCTTCATTTAAAGATGCTCCTCAGACCTACACAATTCTTTCTCCTGGCCAACAGTGCGGAAAGTCTTGAATCGACTACAGCGACCACAGCTGATTTATTGCTAAAATTCCAGCACTTCACATGACACTTGCATTTCAGCAGCATATTTACGAGTCGTATAACACCATATCGCGGTTAGTCCATTCATGCACACTTTACTCTGAGTGTTCCCATCGGCTAAAACTGCAGGATCACATATCCACATTCTGTCCCTAAGCACTTAGATCCACATACAAACTCTGGGAGAAGAACTTCTACACTTTTTTGGCTCAAATTTTATTTTAATTTGTAAAAAAAAAAAACTTAATACCACCACTCCCAACCAATAAAATATAGAATGACTTAACATAAGTGATCACACTGAAGAAAAGTAATGTTCTTCCTCCGTATTTGTCTTGTTTTCCAGTGCAAATGTCTAAATATTCTTAAATCAAGAGACACTTACTTGAGAAGTACAATGACGTAAGAAGTTTTGTTTTCTGTGAAATTGATCACAATGAAGTGAGTTTGATTAAAACAAGAACAATGTTGTAAGATATCTGCCAATGCGCTCAGAAAAATGTATTTAATTCAAAAGGAAAACAAGTTCTCATACCCCACTAACTGATATTTGTTCATGTTTTAAGCATAAACTCACTTCATTTTGTTCAATTTCCCAGAAAACAAAACTTCATTCTGCATCTCAAGCAAATGTATCTTGATTTAAGGACAATGGGATATATATTCTAGAAAGCAAGACAAAAATACTGAGGAAGATATTCATTTTTTGCAATGCATGCAACATTTAATGTCACAACTATTATAATTCAAAACTGTCTGCTCTGATTTAAGACCTTTAAAGGCCTTAATTTGTAGAAAGGCAAATTAAGACTTTTTTAAGACCGACAGAAAGCCTGTATGTAAGCTTAGTGAATGCACATGTATAATGAACAGCCGCTATTTTATAAATTTTTATGAATGTATATTATTACATTTTAAAAAGTGCTTTATTAGCTTATTTTAAAACCGTTAATGGTGACATTGGTGGTAACATTTGTGAACACTGTTTGTAATTTTTAATGCAAACATTTTGACAGATCCACCTACAAACTATCTTTTTTTCTCCGTTCCAGTGTTCAAAATGTCCTTAATGCTCTGTGTTTTTCTCTCACAACCCATGAAGCAATGGGATAAATCTTTTGCATCACATTCAATTACATGAGCTTTTGGCACAAAATCACACCAATCATTCATTTCCTCAAAATTGAGATCTCCTTTCTGAGCTGGAACCCCATTCAGCCACTCTGCATTCTACAGGGATCTCCCGCCACAGTATCAGGCCTTGCTGGCGTTCACCTCAGTTGATTGAAACAGCTTGACGGCTCGATGTCTTGCTGGGAGGATTGATGAGAGCATTACATTTGCAACTAGAAAATCAGCTCCCCTCATAAATGGTGAAGGAACATTTGGCATGTTTGCATACAAACAGGCCATAGATGGAAGCATAAAGCTGTACAAAAAAAAAACAAAAAAATCGGAAGAGTAAGATGAGGAAAACACAAACTCTAATACCGTCAAGGCCACTTTTGCGAAGACTATTCGTCACAACTTTCCAGATATGCAAAAAGCCAGCTGCTGAAAATAGTACAGTTATTCCATTCTCACAGGTGCCACCAGGGATCATGGGTTTTAAGATATAACTGCTGGCTAGAGTGAGATGGTGAGAAGACCAGCCAATAGGAAACTTGCTCAGGTGTCATTATCTTGGCGGGGTGTTAAAAGACCACAGCGAGAGGCCCCGTGCTTCTCTCTCATACATGTGCAAGGTGTGACAACCTCTCACCATGGCTCCCATGCACCAATTGTCTAAAAAATCTGAACCGTTTCAGATGACAAACGCAATATCTCACAGTGAAATGGGAGCAAAATGGGATCAAAGTCAAAATATTCAAGTTTAATTTACTTATGACCTAACGCTTTGCTGTGATATTCCAAATAGCATACTTAGACTGCACTATAAAGCAGCCAGAGACTGATGTTTTGTAATTTTCTAAATATCCGACTCTTTTGAACTATTCTGGGGATAAGAGGGGAGAACAGACCTGACCCCATCTATACAGTAATTAACAGTAAATGTGGCTTCTTCAAGGCAACTAAAACTCATTAAAATGACCAGGTTCTGCGGCACTTCCCCCTTCCTAAACCAATCAGGGTCCACTACTGTGCCGGACTTGAGGCTATTAACAGAGACACGAATTAAGGATCTTAATTAATCTCAAGTGCATTTACAGATAGCGCTGGTGTATAATACTTCTGACCGCAATTCAGGTCTGAAACGTGCACCTTATTTCCAGCCTAACTTTTCAGCCTACATTTCCCCATTAAACTTGAGAGTGGGTCTCCAATTAGACCAATTTGCATTTGCTAATATCATAATTATATCTTTGGACATTAATAGAAAGTGGAAAATGAGAAGCCTAGTGAAATCACAGCTTGATACATGGCGGACAGACACCACATTAGCCTCTTCTATTACAAAGCAAGACATCTGACAGGCTGTTTTCATGAAACTATAGTAACTTTAGTTGATGACAGAAGTACGTGCTATTAATGTCCTACACGTTTACAGTAATGCAAAGGATTTGTACTGTATGTAATTATAAGAGAACACAACGCAATGTGAGAAGCACTAGGCCAATAGAAACATCATACTTATCCCATCCTAAGATCTCCATTTCTGTTATCAGCTGGGAATAATACTGAGGTGGTGAGAAAGACTGACATCCTGGTTGGCTCTTCAATGCCACTTCCTGATAATAGACAAGTTCGTAATGAGAATTATTTATTCTATCTGCGGGACTCATGTGCTTATTATGGTAATATGATGCTGAACATTACATCATGTATAACATTTGTCAACATGAATATGGTAATGTCCAACCCCTGGATAAATCGTGCAATATTTTAATAATATTTACCAATACTGTCCTGAGTTCCAGGATAAAAGCCATCAAATTAGCTGAATGCTGTAACCTCTGTTTAAAGAAAATAAATACAAATACTGTGATTAAAGTAGAACATACAGAGTGTCAAAACCAGCAACTGTCATTTAACTAATGAGAGTGACCATTAGAGTTAATTATTAATCATTTTAAATTCGTAAGAAAATAATGAACTTTAACTAGTTAGGGTACCGCATAAATCTAGGCAGGGCAAATCATAAATCTAGTCTTTTTACCCTAGAGGCATAGGGAAAAAGCTTTTTCCCCCATGCCAAACATTGTGTGTTAATTAAGACGTATTTCTAGAATGATGAGAAATAGCTGCAAACTATTTCCTTTTCCTATTGTACCTGCTTCACAATATGTTGATAACCATGAAGTAGCCGTTTCATTTGCCAGCAACAATGCAATCTGCAAAACAATCAAAGACAAGCACAAGAAAATAAAATAATAATAATAATGATATCTGTTGGAATTATATATATAGATATATAGATATATATAACAAGTCAAATGAAACAGTTAAAATGACAATAATAAAAATCGACTCTTTATACGTGACTTAAATATACTGGCTCAATATTATATACACAAACTTAAATGGAATGAAAAAGCTTTTCACTAATTTAAAAGCAATTTGGTAGCTTTATCAATAAGTACAAATATGAAACTGATTTTACAGTATTTTTGCAATATTTTACAATATGGAATATGTTGTTATTAGTGTAACTGAGTTGTATTATTTACGACATTTTACATATGATCATAAATTGTATATGGTGTAACGTTCTTCACGTTGATTGATATATGTTGTTTATGTTCTTTGTTACCTCAATAAAAAAGGCAAAGCCAATATACACAGAAATAATATTCGATGGACATCACATAAAAGAAAAAAAAACTACTATTAAAGAAATACTATTTCAGTCATACTTAGCCTGTTTCATCTGATGATCAGGCGGTAGAGATATTCTTATCCTGAAGTCTTTTTCCTGTCAAAGATTAAATAATGAGAAAAATGGGAGACTTGTGACAATCGCTTCACTGGTATACGATTCACACGACATTACATATCCACACTGTAAACGCAGCTGACAACCTACGCTGTCTTCTTTAGCATGACTGTGAACTGAGCTGTGAAACTTGTCTTATCAGTACTGTGATGAACCCGTCATAGACTGTCTTCTCCTTATTAAGCGCAATGATCATAGGGCTTTCTCTCATCAGCAAACAGCTCATGATGAAAAATAAGTACGTTAAAGCACGGGCTGAATATAAACCGCTAGCTAAACACCTATTTAGATGTCTCGACAATAAACTGAACCATATAAACACAGCCTAAAGTTTTACAGGCATAAACATTTCAATCGCTGCAGTCAGAAGCTTCTTCCACTGTTGTGATACAGGCAAAGCGAAAGTAACTTCCCGCGAAAAGAATCGAGCGTCGCTGACGTCATTAAAGTTTGAATGACAGAACTTTATTTGAACTAATTTGCAACAGGATTTAACCACATAAGGCCTGTTTAACTGTTAATATTTGAATAATGTTAACCAAATCTATCACTGCAATATATCAGCTGTGTAGACGTACAGAATCTCAACATCTCGTAAAATAAAGGTGCTATTGCGCAATATGTGAAGTTTAGTATTAGTTAATCATTTGATGGATGATTTAATTCGCTTCTTTAATTAAAATCAAAACAAGCAAACTACACAGTGCAACAGATAGGCCCTAGGTCCCGTGTGACGCAATGTTATTTTAGGAGCATTTTGCAGCAGTTGTATGACTTCTGTCCTCCAAACTAATTCCAGTACCGCCATATTTTTGTTGTGTCTATTGGGTGAACAAGTGAACGCAATAAACCCAAACTTGCATAGATATAGTCAACTATGAAGAGCTTGAACAGTGTTTTCAGGACTGACATTTACAGGTAGGGGCAAATTGTCACACGTTTTATGAAATCATAAATTATAGTAAATAATTTGTGGAAATCGTTCGATGTAGGTTTACATTTTTACCTTTTTTTATTTTTATTTTTTTACAAATGCAGAAACTGAGTATTTGTAGCCTATATGAAATTAACAATGCTTTTTTTTTTTGACTGAAATATTTAAGTTTACATTACTTTTTTAAATTAATGTTTTTTATATTATTTCTGTTTTTTTTTTTAGCTTTTTAGATTAGACTTAGATTATTTTAACAATAAAACTCAATAAAAAGTAATTAATGTCATCCCCTTGGAAGTTTGCTGAGGCTCCTTAATGGGCCATCTAGTTGAGATCTTGTTTAAGGCATGTTTCAGTGTGATGTTAAATGCACTTTTAAATATTTGTTTTAACTGGGCAAAACGGTGGAAATCTTAAAGATGATGATGATTATTATTATTATTTGTAGCCAAGATTATGGTGTCTATGTGTTCATACAGAAACTGGGCTAAATGATGTGACACATAGCCACAATATTCCAAATATCAGCATATATCAGTTGTTCTCTGACAGGTTTCCTTTGTGGCAACACTCCACTTAAACATTTCTTTTCCCCCAATAGACAGCATCTGTCTTGCATTAATACTAGAGTGAAAATATAAAACGTGAATAATAACTTTACCCTGTCTTTGTCATTTTCTGCTCTGATGCTATGGATGCAGATGTTTATGGATGAATGTTTTGATGTCTAATTCCCTCTTCATTAAACATCACAGGCTCTAATATGCAGTGTTTTTTTTTTAATCCAAAAATGCTCAAATATTCAGTAAAGCTGCCTTTAAGCAAACACACATCATTACAGCTGAGAGCCCTGTATTGGAGTGTGTGATTGTATATTGCTTGTGTAGAGTGTCAAGTGTGCGTGCTACACATTGTGCCTGGAGAGATTGATGTTTTGTCATCCACCTGCTTCTAAGCTGTAAAAGCAAGCGCAGCAAAGGCAAATCTACCCAGCTTCAAAAT